TGCCTTGTCCCCTGCCAAAGTGAAGGATCCCCAGGAGGGCAGTGGGGGGTTTGGATAGTGCCACCCCCGCCAGGCAGGGCGCATTTGGACCAGGATTTGGGAGCAAAGAGGGGGAGAGGAGGTGCCCAGGGCCCTTCCCAGGTGCCCGTTGCTGCTCTCCCGGTGCACAGAGAGCTAAGTGGGGAAACAGGATAAAATAAAGGAGAAACAAAGATTTTCCCCCCACGCCCATTACAGGTTCCCACTGCCGTGTGCTTCCAACAGCACCAGCTCCCGTGGGAAAGCCCAGGAGCTTCCCCAGGAAGCCTGGGAACCCCCGTGCCGGGAGTCTCCTTGGGGCCTCGCGACCCGGAGGCACCGGGATGCGGGATGCAGGTCGGGATGGCGCCCGCTCCCCCAGGGCATCCTCCCGTGGAGGCTTTTGGCTGCCCTGGGAGAGCTGCACTTGGTATCACAGGGCTCAAAGGCGCGATGCTGAAACGAGCTGGTTCTGGAAAAAACATCCTTTTGCCCCGCTCCGGTCTATTTTTGCAGCTTTTGGCCTTCTCTCATCGCCACGATCCAGACCATAAATAACAATAACAACATATTTAAAGCCTTTATGATGACAGCTGCCCACATCTGCCAGTGCCTTTTAATTCTCCAGATGTTTAAAATCTGACTCAAAAGTGGAAGTTTGGTAAATATTTTGTGTGTTTCTCATTTCACGGCCACTGGGATCCTTTTTTTTTAATCACATGGAACAGCAGAATAAAAATAACATCTGGAAGGGCTATTTTTAGGAGCTGGAGGGAGGAAAGGTGCGCGGGTGACAGCCGTCCCTGCCGGGGGGGGCAGCTGGGCCTCGGGGACAGGGATTGCTCCGGATCCCGGGGCCGGGATCCGCAAGGTGCTCCCCTCCGCATTCCGGCCGTGCCGGGATGCTCCGCGTGGCGCTGGCCACCCCGGCCGCTCCAGGCATTTGGAGCTGCTTCGAGGAGCAGAGCGGGGGGAGCTGTTATTGACTTTGGTCGGGCAACAGCTCCCTGCACTGAAAAACGTCAGCGGGGAAAGTATTAAAATAAAAAAGCCATGGACTTTCGCACCGGCCTTGGAAAAAAAAGCACTTTGGATTTTGCCACAACAGAAGCAAACAGAGCGCGTGGCGCAGGCGGCGCCAGGCCCGGAGGCTCCCGCGCCGGCCGCGCTGCCCAGGGGGGGCAGCCGGGACGGGCACGCACGGGGGGGCACGGAGCGGCACGGAGCTCCGCACGGAACTCACACACGGAGCTCCACACGGTGCTCCCAAATGGAGCTCGTGGAGCCGTGCGGAGCTTGGAGCGGGACTCACAGCAGCTGGGGCGCCGGGCGAAGGCTCTTGGCACCCTCTGCCCTTTCTCCCGCCTCCACCAGCGGGAGCTCCGGTGCTGCGGTTACCCCTTCCCTGGGATCACCCCCCATTCCCTACGTATCCCAAACCCTGCAGTGCAGCCCGGCTCCGGAACTGACTGCTCCCGCCAGGCACAGAGTGTGTCCGAGCGGTCCCAAACCACATGATTTCCTGACAGTTTCCTTATCTTGAAAAAACGAAACTTGCCTGTTTTGCAGGGAGGCTCCAGGCCCCTCCCAGAGCTCCCGCAGCAGAGATTTTTGTCCAGGGAAGCCCATGGGTCCCGGGGAAGAGATGCCCACCTGCAAGAGGCCCGTGGTGCTGGCCCTGGTCGCGGCGGGGGTCGCGGTGATGCTGGTGGTGGCCCTCACCCTGGCGTTGAGCCTGCCGTCCGCGGCGCAGGAGCCTGCGCGGTGCCAGGGCTGCGCAGGGGACACCGTGGGGAAGGACGAGCTGGCCCGGCTGGAGGAGGCCCAGAGGGCCAAGTGGGAGCAGGTGCTGGCAGAGGTGGCCGCGCTGCGCTCGGAGCTGGGGGGTGTCAAAGAGGCCCTGCAGGACGCGCGCCAGCATGGGGACACGTGCGGGACGCGCTTGGTAGGTGCTGGCTGCAGCGCCGGGCGCAGGGAGCCGGGAGCAGGTCCTGGCCGCGGCTCTTCCCTGCCGTGTCCCTGCAGGATTCCTTGCAGAACAATGTCATGGCCTTGGAGCAGGCGCTGGAGCTCCTGCAGCGCCGGGACTCGGAGCAGGGGGACGAGGCGGCAGCGCTGCAAGGTGAGTGACCCCCTGGTCCCCCATCCCTGGAGCATGCTCATCCCTATCCCTGGAGCACGTTCATCCCTATCCCTGGACCGTGTCGTCCTCCTTGGGCCACGCTGGTCCCTGTCCCCTCGGCCGCGCTGACCCATCGCTCTCGCCTCCACGCAGAGGAGCACAGGAGGCTCAAGGAGGACGTTGCCCAGCAAAGGTAACACGTGGAGGAGGAGCAGCAGAGCAGGTGGGACCCCGCGGGCCCTACACCCCGTCCCCCAACTGTCCCCGTGCCCGTCCCCAGGAGCAGCCTCCAGTCGCAGATCTGGAACGTGCTGAAGGAGCTGCAGGCCCTGCAGAGCCGGCGCTCGCGCGGGAGCCCGGCCGCAGCGCCCAGCAGGGCCGTGTCCCTGGGCCTCGCAGCGCTGGCCCTGGCGGGGACGGGGACGCTGCTCTGCTGAGCGCAGGCAGCGCCGTGCGCGGGGACGCGCTCCCTTCCAGCCGCAGCCCCACGGGCGCCATGCGCGGGCCCGGGGGGCCCC